AAAATGACCCAATACTCAAAATTTCTTATGTATTTTTATGGGACCAATCAATTTTAAGTTTTAATGGCTTTTTTAGGATTTATTTAGTATTTTGGCTGTGACTGTACTAAAAGAAATTGCACTTGAAGACCTAAGAGTGATTCTTAATGCAATATTTCAAAAATGCATGGGGTGTCCGAAAACTTTTTTCCACCACTGTATATCACAGCTGCTCTTGGTGAATGCTCAAAGAAAACATGAGAAAGTGGGGCTGAAACAGATAAAGTGGGGCTGAAACAGATAAAAGGCACCCAAAAGGAACAACCCATGCCTTTTTCAAAATATAATTCTAATGTTAGGTATGGGTTTTACCCCACCAACAAGAAGTGACAAATTTATACCTGTCTGCGCAGACTCGTGCCAATTAGCTTAGCTTAGCATGGGGGAAACCACAAATAATCGTTTTACAGTTGGTTTTTATACAGAAGAATCACATGAGATGTAGCGTGGTAATTAGTGAGATTTTAAGGTGCTTCTAGGTGGATTTTGTTACCTTTATTAGAGAGGACAAATCCAGCTGTGTCCAGTTGTTATGGTAAGCTAAGCTAATGGGCTGCTGGTTGTAGCCTCATATTCAGTATTAAGTAGCTTGGGAGCCAGAATAATCTGCAAACTCATGTTTCAAACAGACAACAAACAGATTCCCACCCGACCTGGCCCCCTTCGGGATAATCACAACCACTAATCTGATATCGGCTTGTTCAATATGAACACACAAAAGTATGAGAAATTACTCAACAGTGACACAAACAGCGGTCCTCTGGGTTAAAATTTTGTGTTTGTTTGACCTGTCCCCGACCACATCCCTACACGGACTTCCTCGCTTTCCAAAGGGTTACTACCTATGGAATCGTAACATTAACCACCACCTATTGCGTGATGTCATTAAATCAGGGAATTCATGTGTCCACCATGTCAAAGGATCCTTAATGATGCCGCTGGCACGTAATTTTAACACATTATATGCCACCATCACATAACACAGTGTGAAGAGGTTGTGGTCATTTTATGTTTACCATGATTGACAGCTTGCAGAGCCTTCAGTCTTGACACAGGATACATGATGATGTCATTTTCAGCTCGCACGCCTTTGCATAAACCTAGCTTAAGAAAGAGGACCACCATTGAGGCATATTTTCAAATTTTGATGGCAAAAACGTCAACAGTCATTCACAGACATATGCTACACCATCACAGCATATCTTGGCACGTGTCATTCAGCACTGTGTCACATGTTTTGTGCTCTGATTGGTTGTAGGTCTTTCCCATTGTGTCCAGAGGTATTTTGATCTGTGGCTATTGAAACACTGCTTGGAAGCTGAAAATAAACTGAGTGGTTGCAGACTAAACCGCATTTGCGAATTGGACTAGTGATGCCAGGCTAATTGTAGGCTACAGACATCAGAATGGTATCAATCATATCATCTAACTCTCAGCAAGACAGTAAAAGTGAATACATAGGTGTATTCCAAAATGTCAAACAATTTTGTTACTTGAAGTGTAAAATGGGTCCAAAACAGCAGTGAGCAAACTCCCTGAAAGCACCATGAACCATTTGGACTGTGTACTGTGTGCACTGACGTTGTGTTCCATGTTACAAGATGTTGCAAATGTTCTTTGTGCAACTACAAACACAACACTACAGAAAACAAATTCAAAACATAAATTAATAAAAATGCCATAATAAATATATTACTTTGACCAATACTGCCAGTGGGCACATGATTTTTTTTAATCAAAGGTCAATGTTGGTCAGTGGCAAACTCTAAAGGGCAGGGAATGGAAGAAATGACATCATAGTAAACCACAGCGACTATCAGCGCTCAGTCGAGGTTACAAGAATAAAGAGCTCCTCTGTTTGGATGCTGTTTGGAGTCAGACCAGGCAGCAGCCAGCTGGGCAGATGAACCGTCCCAAATTATTCTCACCCACTGCATGAAAGACAAAATCTTCTCAGTGATTTCACTCCCTTGGAGACAAGAAGAAGAACTAAAATGTTAAACTAAACTCAAGGTAAGAGGAAGAAGTGAAGAGAGAAGAAGAAAAGCAGATGAACTGTAAGAGCAAGAGGCTCATTATCAGTGTAAACAAGACTGAACATGTCAGGCCTGTCATACGGTAAAAAGAAAAACTAGATCATTAAAAATAAATCTGTACATTGCATGAATCATTACTAAAGCTAAACCTCAGTGCTCAAAGAATATAAAAGCAGAAGTACAAGGCCCAGATTTTAATGATGTGCCTGAGGACATACATTTTGCAAACACTGCATTTTCCTTTGAGGCACAGACACTTTAAAGTGAAACATGTTTTGCTCTTATTAAACTTTCACCATAGATTCAACTCATTAATTTGTTTGTTCAGGATCAAATACAGTTTCTGTGTTTTGTAAAATGGGTCCTAACCTACAGTTGTAGAACATGAGTGCAAATGAAGATGTGATAATAAGCACAGCAAGGGGTTGCATTGGTGCATATTAATATCTATCCTACTGAAGAAGGGGGGGAACTAGGACCAAGGCAAAATTTGGACAGTCAAGGTGAGAGCCCCTGAGCTGTTTAGGGGCTCATGGAGCACAGGTGTGTGAGTCTCAGTCCTGTGCACATTCTTGCCTGGGTCCTAACAGTCCAGGAGTAGGGGCAGAGGAAAGGCAAAGTGCTAAGTGCCATTTATTTTCTATTATATTTTCCATTATACAAATTATGTTACTTGGATTTTAGTAAATTGGACTTATTAATATATAGTTTAAAGCTACTCTTACCTTTCTTGCATTTCACACAGCACTTGGAAAAAATCTGAACATCCACAACTCCACCTCCCTCCAAAGGCCTACTCCCCCCTCCTCCATTTCGTCCTCACTACGTCTATCATAGATGTAGGCGTTGGCATGGTAACGCTAGATACACGGAATAGGAGAGCGAGTGTAATGTTACAACCAAGACAGTCAAACACAACCCTGGAGTTTTAAAACTCAAGCGGAGTCAGTGATGACTGATGAGTTTTAGAATAAGGTTACAGTGCTAACGTTAGATAGTAGCGTTAACGTTACTAGTAAGTGGAAACACACAAGGAAGATAAGGTTAATGTTTCAGAGGCTACGCTACAGTAGGCTAACGTTAGCCATTAGCAACTGGATGCTGTGTTGTCATATATAACGTTATATGTTATATTAGAAGCAAACTAAACATAATGTTACCTGTCCTGCACAGTCAAACGCTACCCCAGAGTTTTGAAACTTATCCGGGGTCAGTGATGACTGATGAGTTTTAACATATATAACATAAATGCTAACATTAGATAGTACTGGTGACTGGCAGCAAACAAGGAAGATAATAAAGAGGCTTAGGCTACAGTAGGCTAACTGGATGCTGTGTTGTCATATATAACGTTATGGCCTATGTTGGGGGGGATTTTACGCGCGTGATTACGTCAGTCGGAGGCCTCCACGTGGGGAAGACAGACAGGACGCTCGAATGCAATGATGGTCAGAGTTTTCTTAGAACCATATGAGAATAGTATAATTATGAGTTTTTATCTCTGGTGGAATTCACTTACATTTTAGTGTGCCATCAGCTTATTAAAAGCATTTTAACCTAAACAAAGAAAAGCGTAATATTTCCAGAAAGGTAAGTGTTGCTTTAGGTGCTGCAGTTGGTGTTGGCCTCTGGTCACGGGGTTGGCTGATGCAGTGGAAGTTCACCGGTTGAATTGTGGTGATATAATTTAAGGTCTCAGCCTTCTTTGTGGCTGTCCAGCACAGTTGTATTGGAATGCAGGTATCTCCTCTGCTGTCCTTTCTTGGTTCTCTATTGTACCAGCGCACCCTAGATAACGTTTTTTGTTGCCTTAGGGAGGCGCACTTTCACAGCAGCCCTCACATCAAGTGCCTCTCACCAAGAAAGTGTGAAAAAGGTTTAATGGATTAAAACTGTACTGCTTCAACAATGTGTCACTCTGAAAAATCAAATCATCTTTGGGATGAGTACTTATTACCTGGAGTGCATTTTCTGCCTGTATTAAATATTGCTGCATATTATTGCTTATGTGACTACTTGAAGACAGGACGTTACCTTTCTTATTTGTAATATTGCAGAAAAATATTTCTCACGAGTGAAAACTAATGCTTTGCTGAGTGTGTCTAAGTAGCTGCTTGTAAAGGCTTGTTTGTCAGTTTGGAGTGCAGCACTTGACCTGCAGAACACTACACTGTTTTTACACTGGTCTAATTTCACTGAGTGGGACTGAACATGGGGACATGGGGGGAGCGGTCAGGGAAGGACCTAATGCTCATCTTTGTGTGTCTTTACATATATTGTTGCGTAAAAGTCATCTTTTGTCTGTGTGTGTGTTATTGTGTGAAAATATGCACACACGTATGGGTGTAAAGAAAGTAAGTTCCGCTGCAGAGCACTCTGGGAACTAGAGGGGTCTTTCTAACACAAACACACAGAGGCACGGACCCCACTGACGCACTAATGCGGGTGCAGAGGGGTTAAAACAACAGCAGAGTGAATGCCAGGCACGGACGCGAGAAAATAACCCACAAAGCCCTGTCGACTCCGACTCTCAGCGCCCAAAGCACGCTGTTTACAACAGCATGAAGAGCAGACCCCACGCTTGAGCTCAGATTTCAGAGCCATGGACTATTTCTGACCAAGCTTTGACTGACACTGAGTAGACGTGAAGGAAAAATGTCTTTGCTAATGCATTTTTATAGATTGAGTCTATTTTAATAGCCATCTGATGGTGGTGTTGTCACGACAAGTGCCAGGCTCTTTACACAATCACAGTAAAGTCAATATAAATAAAATTGCAGGTCTGTTTGTGACTGACAAATTGCCTGGAATTAAATGTTGTCATGTTTCAAGGCAAAATTAAATACAGCAAAGTGAAAATGAAAAGCTTGATATAACTTAAATGACTGAAAATTGTGCTTTTTTATTAATCAAAGCTGAAATGTCTGACATATAAAGGCTTTTATTGACCATCTGATGCTTGAAAATCTTCAACAATTAAAGCAGAAAGTACAAAAATAAATAAATACAGTGAAAACAGATACAGCTAAAGGTGTTTTTGTTGACAAATTGAAAATAAGAGTGCACATAAAAGCGGGTCATCGGACTTAAAGTACAGGTCTTCCCGTTATACAATCATCATGATAATAACTAATGTTGTATCGAATCTTAAACAACTAAAAGCTTCTTTGACTCCTCGGGAATTTTGTAAGAGAAAGAAAATCATTTAAGACTGTACGCAAGATTAAATAACTCATTAAAATAGATTTTCTTTTTCTTTCAGTGTATAACGTGCCAGTGTGCCAACTGAATCTGGGTTGCGGCTTGTTCGCTACAAGGCTTTATCAGCATCTTAATTCCTGCCACACACTTGAGCAGCAGAAAAGAAAATAACATGTCATTTAGTGCATTCCATTCATACACAATGTAGATTACTCTTACTGGAAGGTCTTAGGTGGAGCAAAAGATATAACTGCATGCAGAGTATTCTGTACATTATAATGGTAGTGCATTTACCTCTGGGGGAGGAAGAAGTAAAGACTTGACAGGAGGAAGTAAACATAAAGAACTATAAGCTCATTTTAAATGTCAAAATGAGTTAAATTAAAGCCTCTCTCAGTATTTAATGCAAATAACAGGTTCCCTTAAATGTTAATGACTTGAATGGCTTTCTGTTACAGAGCTAACAACACAGCTTGTGCTGCTTTGAAAGGAAAGTGGGGAATTTATCATAAGTCCTTCATTCAATGTGATAATTGTTATTTTTATAGAGTACTTTATATGTTGTTTTTTGAGTGGATAATGCTCCAGTGTCTTGTAAGGACAATCCAAACAGGACACAGTGAAGCCACAGAGGATCAAGCTGTTAATTTACTTCATCTGTGTCTCCATAATTTGGCCTCCTGACCGGTGTGAGTCTCATCACACATTCATCGTGATGACTTTGATTCCATGAGCATTGATGTAGGTGAGGAGGACCTTGGCCCGCCTCTCGATCACATCAATCAGCTTGTCGATGCCCTGCCGGCCGCCCTGGCTCTCCCAGTATGTCTCATCCAGGAACAGTGACTGGAGGAGCTTCTCCCTCAGCCTCTTGCTCCTCAGCACCGATACAGCCTGCTCTGGGAGCCTGGACAGACAGAAAGAGACAGAGTCAGGAGGAAGTTTGATTAAACTGGAGTTTTAGTTACAGGTATATGTCACAGCTGCTCGGTTCATAATTGGCGAAGCTATAATAGGCCTACCCTCTTTTTAGAAGCAGCTAAATGTGGTGTTGAACATCTGGGCAACATTATCCTGATTGTTTCTTTACACCATAGTCATTGCAATATTAAAGGTCCAGTGTGTAAATTTAGGGGGACTTAGGCCCTGTCCCAATACCCCCCCTTGCCCACTACCCCTTGGCCCTCAAAATAAAGCAACGAGGGGTAGGGGTAGAAATCTTTCCCTAGGAATTGGGACACCACTCACTACGTCACCGTGTCGGTTACGTTCACGCATTTTAAACAGGAAGCTGCGAGCCATCTACATTTCCAACCAGCATCTACAATGGAGTCTCATTCATCCTACCAATCGCATTTGCAGCATTCATCATGCTTCGTTTGATGAACGACAGACGAAAGGGGACTTCTGTTAGCTAGCTAACCAGCTAACATTATGAGGCAGCATAGTTATACTAGCTGGCGTGTTATCGTAATGTGAAAAAGCCAACAATTTTTGCAGAACAGGACAGATGACAGACGCCAGATAGTGCGAGCTAGCTAGATAGCTAACAAGCAACCTGACGACGGTAACGTTAGCTATGTATGAACTTTTTTCCCCGTCTCTTGCTCAGTGGTAGCCATGGCAATGTCTACCCCTCGCTGGCAAGTCAGCATCTAAAATCCCTCGCTCCGGAGGGCTAGTTTCATACCCACTACCCCTCATTATGCCCCCTACCCCTACACGCAAAAAGGAATTGGGACACCACTACTCCTTGCGGGAATGCACAAATGTAGGGGTAGGGCCAAGGGGTAGGGCTAAGGGGGGGTACTGGGACGGGCCCTTAGTGGCATCTAGTGAGGACTGCAGATTGCAGTTGGATGAAACTCCTCCTGGAAAGAATTCAGTGTTCTCTCTCTCTCTTCCTCTCCAAAACAAACAGACCAAGTGATAAAATTCCTGACCTGCAGTGGCTGATGCAAAAATGCAAAAATGCAAATGGCCCTTTCTGGAGCCAGAGTGTGGTTTGTCCATTCTGGGCTACTGTAGATGTATAGCAGTGCAACATAGCAGTTTCCATAGACAAGGACCTGCTCCATAAGTAGATATAAAATGCCTAATTTCTGCCATTATACCCCCCTAAATCCTACTGTACACACTGAACCTATGAGATGTCACTATAGCCAGACAGAAGTGCAGAAAACAGTAAAAGCTGTACAGAAAGAACAACGAGGAAAAAAGGAAGATGATTAGTTAAACACAGCCCTCTTCAAACTACATTTTTTGCCCTGTAATGTATGCATAGGTACACCTACTGTACACAGTAAGCCTTGTAAGGGTTTCACTACATATCCAGTGATTGTTCTTACAATCTGAAAAAAATGCAATCCTACAATTAACAAGTCTTACACCACAAATATCCTAACAAGAAAGCTGCAATTACACGTCAAACGTCAAACCTGTAAAAAACATCTGTAACAACTTAAATTGAAGTTGAATTACTTTCTTTTATGCCTACATTACCTAGCATCACTTGTGCAAGAGGGGTTCAGGGCTTGAAACACATTCTCCGTCTTGATAGTTTGGGACACACACAACTTATTTCTCATCACTTGCAAGAGTTAACTTTGTGTAGCCTGCATTAATGTTATTACTACTGATTGGATCCTACTGGAATTCAACGAGCCATGTTGGCTATTTAAAGCTGACGGATGTCTACCAAGGGCCGTACAAAGATTTTTTAAGCAACTTTCCTTATATTTACTGAAGATGTCCAGAGGCTATATGCCAGCTGTTTGGAAACTCATTTAGCTTCAGAAAGTTAAGGCCTATGATCAGGTTGGTAACACTGTAATATTGCTTTGAATTAAGATAATGTTTCTACATGTATTTGGTCAAATGCTGCCTTCAAATAGGAACTTGTGAACAACCAAAAGTGGGTAGATTTTCTGTTTGGGAAGTAAAAGGCTATCCGCCACACTGGGGAGTGAATGTTTGGACCAAAATGTAATAACAACAATACTGAGAGTCTGTACTGCGTTTTGATGTCATCTGGGCTGCTCCTCTGCTGCCTGAGTCAGACACAAATATATACATATGAGACCAACAAAACCGACCGTCTCCGGCACTACTAGTTTTGCGAAACTGTCTTCCATTCTTACCTTTCACAATAAAAGCCCTATGGCCATGTACACTGCATTACATCTCACCAGAGGGAACGTATTGACATGCTGAGGCTGTGGTGATGAGTTGCCCGATATATTTAAAATCAGTTTGCCTCAGATTTTGTTTTGACCCTTTCTTTCAGTTTCTATTCAACATAATATCTTATTATCTCAATGAAATGTCCTGAAACAAAAAGGCAGTTTATTATTTTGGCTGGGAAAAATGTATGCTTGGCTGGTGTATTTTTTTCATCTACCAGCCCCGTTGGCAGGTGAGTCAAAAAGTTTATTTCAGACACTCCATGAACACACAGTTGTGAACTCGGAGCTCTCAGAAAATTTCCACTTGCAAGGTCGTGAAAGCCACAAGAGGTGGCTGTTCATATGGACACTTATCGTGAACACAGTGAGCACGACCCCCAATTGAACGCAGGTTTGACATAACATAGTATATTATAATGTCAGTGAATTAAACTCCCGTCACTATGGAGCCTTGCCTCTGGCCGTTGCTAATAGCAACAGAATGTTTCACTTAACAACTGCTAAGCAAACGTGCTGAAATACCAAGCTCATAAACGTAATGATTAAGAGGAGTTTACTAAAACAGTTACATTTCTGAGTATTAGACTGGATATAGACAACAGATGGTTCAAAAAGCAGCGGGTGTTTGCTTCTTGGTGGTTGAAGCCACATTTACCCAATCACATATTTCCCACTGGTTTCCTCTGAGGATCTTTGTATGACTAAAACCTCTATTTGAGTGAATAAACATGAACCCCTACAGGCAGAAAGTGAGTAACTCTGGTATATTGCTTGACATTTCAACAGCTTGCAAGTGTACAAATGAAACATCAGCAGAGATGAAAAATGAGCTCATATATCATGTGAAGCTGCAGCAGCTGGCTCAGAGTTGGTCGTGGGCTTCGTCATTTTTTACACTTAGGAATGAAGGTGGGCGAGTGACGACTAAGATGTTTTGAACGAGAACAAGAGAAATCTACCCAGGTTGGAGCATGACTACTAATCTATGTGCTTAGTATGGGAGGATTTTGTGCTTAATGAGCCAAAGTGCTGTGTGATTTGTTGCTTGACTCATAATTTTGCGTGCAGAGGAGCTGTGCCTCAGAGAAATGTTTGTATCACTGAAATGACAAACCCACAAGAGGCTGTGGGGAGGGGGCCATGTGGACTTTGAAGATGACTTGAGAAAAGTCGTGGAGAGACTGCTGAGAGGTTGTTTACTACGTTTAGATTTTCAAGCAGCTCAGCTTTTCCAATAAACTGCGATGCTGTAAGTTGTACAAGCTGATTTAGAATATGCCTGGATCAAAATGTCAAACTGTTTATTAATCCTTAATAAAAGTCAAAGACATAAAACCATCTCAGATCTACAAAGAATTCAACTGATTAAAAAACAGATCAGGTGTTAGTGATGATGTCCCGTGATCCTGCAGCCTGAAGTCATCTGATAACAGCTACATTCATATGCCTCTATATTATATCTCATTTGAATGCCAGAACAGCAGCTGCAGTTTTGATGAGGATCACAAGGATGCGTGTTTGAGAGGAGACACACGTGTCCTTGCCAAACCACAGTTTCTTCTGCGTTTTCCCAGCTGTGTGACTCGCTGATTTATTGATCAAAAGATAGATGAAATGAAAGACATGTCTCTGCAGCGTGGTTTGGAATTACAAATCCAGACAGATCCACACAGATCAGTGGGGGATAAACTGGAATAACATGTCATTACGCCCCCCCAGATTGAATTTAGTTTTACATTGTGAGCTAAAAGTGAACATATAAAAGGTTCAAGTATATTTTCAACATTTAAACTCTGGTTACAAATGATCAAAAGAGGATTTGAGAGTTTGAAATGTGCATTCTATTGCTTGCAAAAACTTTAAAATAAGAGTGGCTGAACAGGCCTGGCAGAGATTCAAATCTGATTTTTCAGCTCTACATGCTGAATTGTTTTTCAACCGTGTTGTAAAGGGAGATAAAATCAAATACTGTGGGAAAACTGCTACTAAAAAAAAAACCCAAGAAAGACTGTCCACTGATCCCTTGTGCTCCAACAAACAATCCATCTTCACTGTGGACAGTTTTGTTAACCGTGTAATAAATAGTCTTGTGATGGTCCTAACCTGTTGTAAATTTTGTTTTTTATCTACAAATATTTTGGAAATAGGAAACATTGAAGTTCATGACGATGAAGTTCTTATTTTGATCACATCTGTGTGTTCAAACAGTACACTGTTTATGGAAATGCAGTTTGCTGTTGTCTTTCCACAAATCAATTATCGATTATTAACTAAAACTAAACTAAAACTTAAAAAAGGTGTGAACAAACATTTTAGGTCACTGAAAAAAAAACAAAAAAACTAGACTTAAGAGAAACAAAAGAAAACTGACTGATGTTTTATTCATTATTTTGCTCAAAATAAAGTCTTTTATTCATTAAAAATGAAATAAAATAAAATAAATTAATGAAAATAAAAATAAAATAAGATAAAAAAAATAAAATGAAATAAAACAAAAATATGCAGAAACATGCCTTTAGTTTAAGGCCTTATCAATTCATAAAATATAAAATAATAACTAAACTAAATATTAAAATTCATAGAAACCGATCTAAAACTAAACTTTTAAAAAATAGAATAAAAAACAGGCTAAAAACTTAAATAAAACAAGCAAACCCACTTTGGAAACTAACTGAAACTAAAGTGAATTGAAAATAAAAGTTATAAATGAAATAAGATAAAAAATATATATATATAAAATACAAAACTTTAATGACTTTCTTTGACCTTTCGTAGGCTCAGTCACTGGTATTTGTTCATCTTTAAAGCCACACTGGGTAAACTCCCTTTGTACATTTGTACTTTGATTGAACAGAGATCTGACTGTAGCTCCAGTCTGAGATCTCAAGACTTAGTTTTGTTGTCTGTTCCTAGTGCTCTGAGTGAGCTGGGAAAGAAAGCTTTCATGTTCTCTGCTCCTCTCACCTGGAATAACCTTCAAGAAGATTTGAAATACGTGACTTGGTCTCTCTGCCTGATTTTAAAGCTCTCATAAGTACAAGGATGAATGAGTCGGTTGGTTCTTGTCATTGAGTGTAGGTGTTCTGATATTTATACATGTTACGGTGTGTCTGTTATGTTATTAATTGCGTGGTTGTTAAATATGGGTTCAATAAAATTACTTATTTTAACAGAACAATAAAAAACAACAACCACTGACATCATTTATCACATAACAGATGTAAATGTGATCCAAACTCACTCTTTGATTCCTTCCAGGAGCCTGAAGTCCAGGTTGTCCTCGTTGCGGTCGAAGAATCCCTTGTTGTTGGTGAAGACCAGGTGTCTGGGGTCATGACCCCTGTGCATGATGTTTGTCAGTTGTATGTGGCTCTGGTCCCTGCAGTCAGCGTGGTGGCCGAGCACCACACACTCATCCTCCAGCCTGGGCCTGAACCCACAGCAGCTCTGATCCAGACGGTTATGAATCTGGAGGAGGAGACTGAGAATTAGACTTTATTGTCCCAGAGGGTAGATTCTATTTCCCCACACTGGCTGCGGGGATCAGGCTCTTCCCAAAGCGAGGCCTTCTGCACCTCAGTGCTCTGTACCTGCGCCTGGAGTGCAGTGGGGTGAGGTGGTGATTGAGTGGGTGTGTGATGTTCTGTTTTATTGAGGTAGCAATGCGTGTAATGGCCCTTATGTTTAACTCTGTGAGGTTGGGGGTGGGGAGACCAATTATCCTGGCAGCAGTATTGGTGATGTGTGAGAGTTTGGCCCTGTTAGGAACCAAAATTGTGTTAAAACAGCAGGTGGAACAGTACAGTAGGATTGGCTGAATAATTATCTGGTCATAGAACAAAATCACAGCTGTGACTGATTTATGAATTTTCTGATAGGACTTTATGGAGCTCTTTTTTTTTTTATGTTTGCTGATCCTGGCAAGCGCAGGAACTTTTCTTGACCTGAACAAGTATATTCGCAGTACTGACTGGCTCCCTTTAATGTTATACTAGATAATAATTTTATTACAAGATAAAATAATTAAAACAGTTTGGCAGAGAGAACACTAAACACATCCAAGACGTTGGTTTTTGTAGTGCCTCTCTGGCACAAGCACTGCTTGTTTACTTGCTTCCTCCACACAGGACTGGCAACCCATAATCCCACTTGACACATCCATCAATATGCTTAAACATTTGAGTGGCAGGGGCTTTACATGATGCTACTGAAGACTCAATAAAGCCAAGGATGGAGCATCTGAGATGTCACTCAGGTTTCAGATGGGACCTTTAATGCCAGGATTACTGTGAGCCACTCACAGGCACCTTTTTCAGAAACCTGGGAATTTGGGCAGCTTGGGTCAATGAGCATCCACCAAGGCATGAAGTGAGATGAGTTGAAAGACCTCCATACCTGTCAGTCAAGTCATCAAGCCTCTAGACATTCCTTTCTGTTCTGTTTCAAATAAAAGAGTTCAACCCATACAAACCCAGTGTCCATTGTAATGAACTTAAAATATTGATTGACCCTTCGCTTAGTCCCGCTCCCAGACACAGACTAGCCAATCATAACGTGATTATGTACAGCATACCATACAATGACTTAGTCATACCAAAAATTAGAAGAAAAAAAACAAACATTGGTCCACAGGGGGAGCCACAGCGATCGATCGCATTTTAGCCATTTTTAAGCATTTTTCTGTTGTTATAGCGCCACCCAGTTGCCAATTAGAGTTAAATTTCTCCAGTCACCTTGAGGCGTCCTGTTCTACATATCTACCAAGTTTAGTAAAAATCAGTATGGCGGTTAGGCCTAGATAAGAAATTAGCTCTCTAGCGCCCACATTTTGTTTGATGGGGTCAATAATGGAGGGGTCCCCTCAGATTATGTGTGGTCATATGCCTACAAAGTTGCGTGGTGATCGGTGAAACCCTTGAGATGTTATACACCTTTATGTGATGAGCCACGCCCTCCGCAATATTCATTGCCTTATAGAAGCTCAGTTTTAGTAAGTTTTTCAACTTTTGCCAAGAGGGAACTTTAGATATTGGTCCCTAGATTATGTTCACCCAGTTTCATGCAGATCGCTCAAACTTCCTAGGAAGAGATCGATGAAATGGCGGAAAATCTATATAACCAGAAGTTATGGGTTCTTAAGGCAAATTTGTTCCTCATGAGGAGAGGCATCTCTGTGCAAAGTTTCATGTCTCTACGACATACGTGGCTTGAGATATGCCCATTCAAAGTTTACATTCGCATCCTCCCATGACCCTCTACCACTGTGCCAAATTTCACATGGATTGACCGAGTCAGTGAGGAGAAAAACATGGAACAGACACACAGACAGAGTTTTTGTCATTATAAGATAACAGTGAAAAAAAAAAGACCGACCCTGCTGTACAGGAACCAGTGAAGGGAAGAAGGGAAACTTTGCTCATATTCCACCAGCTGTGTGTCATCGCATTGTGTGAGGATGACTGTTGTTTGACTTCCCCCAGAGATCCCTGCCCGTCCAACAGCAGAGGTCCGGGTGCTGGCAGCAGCACGGGGGCAAAGTTAAACACCATTCATCTGCGCACACTGTGATGCCACACAGCTGGTTCAATATCAGAGAAGTTTCCCTTTATATTCATTGTCTTGTGTGGCGATCAGCAGTGATGTGGTGGTTCTCTTTTACACTGTGATCTGTAGTATATAGTTCGGCTTTAGCTTCTAACTATCTTTGTCTTTTTAACCTGTTGTTGCTGCTGAGTCAGTTTGACATCCTGGATATATCCTTCAAACACAGACTGTAGACCCCTCTGTCTGCTTCTCTCTGGAATCACTCTTTCATTTTTCCACAAATATGATAATATTTCTCCAGGGAGTACAGTTAGTTACAGTGTGGGCTCCATGCTTACTCCGACAGCTTGTAGCACCATCACAAAGGGGCGGAGCTTAGGGAAAAGTCAACTGGTTTCAGCTAATGAAACAACTTTTAAACATGTGACAACCTTGTTCCTTAAATGGCCACTTGAAGCTGGCTTCAAAAGCAAGTCAATCCCCATAGACCCCCATGTTAAAATGCCCATCTTTACAGCAGAAATAAACATGTTTACAGTCTGGTACAGAAAAGTTTTTGGTCTCTAGAGCTAACTCTAGAGCTAATTTCAACATTCATGACAGTTGTACAGTGTCACATAATTAAGGGCGTGGCCACTTTGAGCATCAGGCTGTCTACTTCCACCTATAATCAAGAGCACTCTAACTAATCATGTCAACTTTTGACTTATTAGTTGCCAAGTAGTTAAGTCACTGCGGACATCTGACATTTATAAGTTAACATTATAATTCCAGTCATAAAACATGCTTGAATAGTAGCTGGACATAATTTCAATTTAACTTGAATTTATCAAGTTGAATCCATTACATTTTGCTTTTTGAGTTTGTGCAGAGGTTAATGAGCCTCTCATAAATTAGCAACTTTCACAAAGTGCACTCTGGGATTCAAAAGATGAGATGGAAAATCCAGTCAGAAATTAATTTAGTACATTTAGGCATTGCGGCAATATTTCTTCACACAAAAAAGAACATTTGGTACGATCATTTTTGCCACAGGAAAGATTTAAAAAACTGAGAGGAAAAAAATTCAGGCGAGCTAATATCTAAAGTCTAATAAAAAAAAAGTGAAGTTAATCATTGAGACTCATTTTGAAATAAAAATATAAATTGATTTTATATTTTTAAAATGAGAGATGTCTGAGGTTTGGCTTCAGTATTCAGCCATGGATGTTGTCAGCTGAGCAGTACACAGCCTGTGAGGGTCAGTTCAGGACAAGTATCTGCTACAATATGAATAGGTGGGATTTATTTTGTTATTCAGTATCAAAGAAACCTTATATGTCCATTTGTTTGGAATCAGCTTCTCTTCACAGCACAATATGAATTTCCCATTCCTTATTTAAGGCTGTATTCATAAGGAACTTAAAATAAGATAGAAAGTTGTTGCACTATAACCTCTATGGATGATTCAGTTGTTCTCCAAACTTTGTCAAAGTGTATTTTCCATTTCCGCTCTCAGCTATGTTTGCTCCTTCATGATCGTGGGATGAATTTTAAAGAATTGTCAGGAGATGTGTCCTCAAAGCCAAATTCTGATCAGAGATCCAGGCCTCCAACACAGGAAACAGGACATATTCAGCCAAAGGGACAGTACCTCTGAGGATATTTAACCTATTTCTTTTGCAATAACAGCTGTTTGAGCATATTGCTGATGTCAGGCAACAACAAGAAAGTCCCTTATGAAACACTTTTGGAATTTAATAAAGCTGGGGAAGCGGTAACGGCACAGATGCAAACTGAAGGACAGAAAAGTTGCGGATATGTTCCAGAGAAATATGGAATTTATCAAATATGTTCAAGGTGTCTTACTTTAAAGCTGCTTCTGTTACCTGTAATAAGAAGTCAAACAGAGCCAGTTTACTCCACTCATAGTGATGAACTGTGGAGCAGCCGGAGTCAGGCTTCGGGCTGATGTTTTTATGCCAACACCTCTGTTTCAGGGAGCTCTGGTACGCCCCCCATGTCAGCCTCACCATGGACCGGCCTGCAGCGAGGCCCTCTGGATAGAGGGATGCATCCCATGACACCACTGGACAGGGCTGGCCATCTAAAGAGGGAGGATAAAAGGATTATAGTCAGGTTTCAGCAACTGTTGAGTCTCAGTGAGTTTTTTTAACCTATTTTTATACTGGAAAAGCTCACTGAGCAATGCATACACTGCACCAGTGGTTAACACACACACACACACACACCTGCACAGCTGCACTCAGCTTTATACCTTTGTGCAGATCATAACTGGGCTACTGTTTATGGTGCTCAGGACATTTATACATATTTTTTGGCAAAATTTGAATTTATGCCTTCAAACTGAGTCTCCTGTCAATCATTAGTACATTTTATTACACTACATAAATAGACTATTAAAACATAGCGCAGCTTTTGTACTTTAATCTGGTCTCAAGACCATTTTTATGAGGCTCCTGCTCCTTGTGATACTCAACATGTCAGGGAGAGCAAATGAGGATACCCTCAGTCTCATGCCATTCACAATCTGTCTTATCACAGTAGTATTTTGCTTTGGAAATCAGAGGACATTGTTTATTGCCAGGTTTGGCCTTGAATATATCTGGACTAGCTCTGCTCTCAGTCTAGGAACTAGGAACGGTCCTGCTGACACTCTGAACATCACACAGGTAGAGTTTCAGAGTGGCTCAAAAGCACATGGCTGTTGCATCCTCAGTGCCCATTTCTCCCACCACGACTCCAGAGCACCTGTTTTGAAGGTCTAGTGTGTGGGACTTAGTGGCATCTAGCAGTGAGGTGGCAAAACTGAAACTTTTCCTGTGTCCCGAACATGTAGGAAAATTAATGTGGAAACACAGATGGCCCTCTCAAGAGCCAGTGTTTGTGAACAAATTAAACGCATTTTCCTCCCCACTTGCTCTCTGCTTGTACATACCAGCTCCTATATCAGCCCCTCTTTTCTGCTTTGCAGCTCGACTCCTCTCCTCACCATTGATGCATGGAGATAACTTTATAGCTGTCACTAAATCCTACACACTGGACACTGGAGGTAAAGTCGTATGGGATATTTGTTCATAGACAGTGTAATACAGACAGTAGATGTCAGTCGGCATGCCCCCAGTTTGGAGAAGCAGGGTGGAGTCTGACATGGAAGCTAAGCAATGTACTGCTGTGGATAGGGGTCAGTAACAAAAACTGTATTTTAGCCACCTATAAAAGGTCCAATATTAAATATCAATATTAGTTAAAGTGTACACTATATTGAGAGTATTTTCACCACTTCTTTCCGTCAACAGCCCATTCTTAGAGGAAAGCCATTAACGGCTTCAGTTCCCCATCTATGCTCTCTTAAAGCCACCAGACTCCATTGAGAAAAACAGAAATTTTAGCTCACTGATCATGAGACCTGCTAATCTACCACTGCTTCAATCAATTAGTTTGTTTGTGTGATTGTGTGCCTTTGGTGAATCTGCACTAACACGTAGAGTAAGATAACTGATCAAGGCAGTGGTCGACCAGCAGCTCCTGTGTTCAGTGATGTTAAATCACTCTTTTTGTCAATGGAGTCTGGCTTTGAGGAGAGCATTATTACAGCTTCATTTTCCTGTAAGAAATCACTGTCTGACATTAAGGTAAGACAGTTAAAATATTCTAAATGTTGCTGACCCCTCCACAGCACATTGCTAAGTTTCCACGTCCACTCCAGCCTGCTTCTCCAAGCTTGGGGCATGTCGACTGTCATCTACTGACTGTAATATATTGTCTATGGATAAGTACCTCATATGACCCCACAAATAATCTCAACTATGCCTTTAACATATCCATGACATTCAGTGACTCAGAGGTTAAAACAACACATTCAAGAGGTCTGTACTACATGAGTTAGTATTGTAAAAGCTTTATCTCCAAACTCCCTAAATCTACTACAAAGCTGCACAGATTTACTTGATCAGGATATTCACTTATTATCCACGTTTTCAGTCTGTCTCAGTAGAACTGATTACAGTGCTGAATTTCAAGTGCTGTGATGCTGATGATGCAATCTGCAGTTTGGATCCTGAGTATATAGAAAGGATCAAATTCTGAGTGAGGAAACCAACCAGTTAAGTTAGGAAATGTATTTTATTTTCCTCTGACATGTCCATCCCTACCTCTGATTATCATCATTTGAAACACGCTTAGCACACCTGTGAATTAACTTGGTTTTAAAAAATACTCCATCGTAAGTTTCATCCAGCTTCTGTCACAAAATAAGAAACTTTGTCCTCTGTTGACATACCGTGTAAAAAGCTGAACTTTCTGCTCACTGCTGGTAATGTCCTGTTGAGCCCCAGCACCCTGTCCAGATGGAAAGCAAACACCTCAGTGGTGTCCACGGGACTGTGGATCACTCCACACTGCCCACCACATGTGTCCTTCAGCTGTGAGTGTTTTTGGTTGATGGGTGAAACTGACTTCTCGCCCTCAAATATCAGAAACGACTGAGAGTCTCTGTAAGAAACTTCTCTGATGCGCAAAACTTCGGCGTCCGCAAGAAAGCGCATGGCTCTCACGTCCTGCGGGCTGAGCCATGGCGGTGCCCTCTGGCTGTAAATTCGGATAGAGCTGATGTGAGAGTCTGCCTGTGCATCTCTGTGGGATTTATGGATTGTATTCAAGGATTTGTGATAAATATCCCTGGCTTCCCACAAGGAGTTCTTGGGTGCAGAGTCGCGTTTAATTTGGCCCGCGTCCTGCTCCAAAGTGGCAAGTTTGTTCTGCGTAAAAGCAGAATTAGCCTCCTTATTCCGTTTCACTTTTTTCCTCAGCTTTGGTCTGATTGTACCCCGAATATTTGCTGGTTTCAAGCGTTTAGACTTCAGTGTTATATACACCACGTTGGACCGTGTCGGGACCACAACGCTCTGCGAATCCACAGAGTCTGAGTCACTGATATCCAAGTGATATAATCCACGGGTGTGTCGGTACTTGTCAGTCCTTTTGTCCCGGTGCTGCTGCGAGTATACAAGTTGTGATACCACCAACAATAGATAGACAACACACGCGCTCGCAATGATCAAACTCCTTTTGGAAAGAGGGCACCTCCGAAAGCTGCTGGTCAGTCTCAGAAAAGGGAAGCACAGCCAGTGAAAGCGAGACTTCCCCATTAGAACCTATGTTAATATCATGGTTGAGTGTCTTTTTTGAGCCCAACTCAAAGCAGGGAGGAGCGCACAGCTTCCGAAACTCATTTTGGAAGGGAGGATTTGTGGACACATAGCGCACGGAGACACTGCGCCCGTAGGGGATGGACGGGCTGGGAAACCACCCTCCAACCCAACATGAGGCGACTTGAACTTTTTCTCTCCTGTCTTCTTTGAGATATAGATATGGTAAACTCGTAATAGGAAGTGAAGGGATACCTGAGTGTGATTCATGCCCGCATGAGCCTGAATGTGCTGCTGAAATTCATTCAGACAAAGCATGGCATCTCCATTTACAGACTCCATCAAATGCTCTGCAGAGATGCACAAGTTAAAAAAAAGTAGCAAAAAAGTTGCCCTATGATATTTTGGATATGTACCATTGCAAATCTTTCAGCCCATATAATTAGGAATATAAGGGCTGAAAGATATGTACCATTGCAAATCTTTCAGCCCATATAATTAGGAATATAAGGGATATCAAAGTGTGGAAAAAGTCATGAGAATTATTGATCGACTTTATGGTGATACTATTTGATTAAACTAAAATAAAGAGGTGAGAGCTGAAGGTGATAATTTAAGTTGAAGTACTCAGAACAATTGATGCATAATACATCCACGCGTTTTAGGCGACATCTGCTGGTTCATTTCCTTCATGGTTAATTGACTGAGCGCAGACGATTCTCATCATGGAGACACAACAGAATACAATAGGAAAGAATAAAATAAATTGGATTATTAATGTGAAAAGGAAAACAGATAACAGCAGGAAACAACTATCTCCTCGTGTGGAAGAGAAATGCAGACTGGGTGCAGCAGCCCGGGCAGGATTTCCTGACCTGAACAAAAACAGGTTTAAATATAGAGCTATTGTGCTGTGGTCTATAAAGAGCACTGATTTCCAGGTAGGCTAAGTGCTGTCTTCCTCAGCGTGCCAGGGGAATGAGCCTGTAAACCTGCAGGCAAGTCACAGTAGAAATACTCTGCTACAAGTAAAAGTCATTCAAAAAAATTTATAAGCAAAAGTACAAAAAATATCAGCATGAAAATAAACTTACTGAAAGTCAAAAATAGGTGCTTCTTATGCAGAATGGCTCATATCTGAATCACATATTATATTATTGGATTGTAATTTTTAACAATTACATTACATTAATTGTATTACCATAATGTAGCCAGTAATGGTGGAATTAATTTTAACTCGAGGAGAACTGGGACACTTTTTACTTTCATTTGAACCCCTCGAAAAATTAAAAATGAATAAAATAATGTATCCTTTCAATGTGTAATGGAAGGCTAAACAGTCAGGGGGGAATGGAGTGACCTTACTCTTCTTAAGTTAACTCTATGCAAAAGATGTGGAGTGTCTGCATGTTAAATTCTAGACATTGTGCCTTAGAAATATTTAAATGAAGAATAGGTCTGGGGTGAGAGGGAAGGGCTGTTGTGTCATATCAGGTATAAAGTATGTGCAACGTGTCTGCCCAACCCCGGAGGGTTTTTTTTCTCTCTCTCTCTCTTTTTGAAAACTTTAATAAAAAAAGAAAATAAATAGATGAAAATAAAAAGATGTGGAGTGTCAAATATGTTTTGTGCACCTGTGACATCCATCCCATTGCAGAGTTGATCGTCCCTGTGTGGTTTTAATGGGGGAAAAGTGGAGGCAATCTTTAAAATACATTTTTACATTGAACGTTAAAATTTAGAAAAGTAATTAGTGCCATAACCAAATTTAAAATGGCCGAATAAATCAGCTGAAAGACTCATAGTGTGTCTCAAATAGCGTACTTCTGTACTATATTTTAAGTGCATAAGTGTGTTCACACTGAGAAGTATGGAAAAATGCAGAGCACTATGAGTACCCGGATGGTGCACTCAAACCAGTCAAGAAGTTGAGTGTGGAACTATGGACACTTCTCGCCCTCAATGGTCACCATCTTGGCTACGTAGCTGAAAGGGAGGGACCACTTGTCAAACTGGAAATGGCGGCCGAGGACTGTGTGGCCGTGTTTGGTTTGAGACAACACTACCCTGTCGAAATTCTCGCACTATGCCAATGAGTACATAGTGCACATAGTATACTACATGGAAGTGTACTGACGGAAGTATGTGTTTTGAGACACCCCTGAAAGACGGAAAATGGTTTAGTCCACCCTGTACTGGAGCTGAGTGAGTGACTGCTCATGCTGCTGGAGCACCAACATATGCTTTCATGTCTTTCCCCAGGAGAGGGAATCAGGATTACAAAAAAGAAATGAAAGAGAGAAGCTGAAGAAAGCAAACCAACTTAAAAAAAATCTCAAAGGGTGCATGAGAGAGACGTGGATCAAGGAGGAAGGGTGGTGGCCCATAGAGAATGTTACTGCACAGAGCCCAGAATTTGGTGCTACGCCCCTGGCCATTACATCATTGCTGATTTATAAACACTGCAACATTTTTATTTATGAAAAATTGTACACAGGGCCACAAACTATTTCAGACAACAGACATGATGGAGGCCTTCATACTGAGGGTTTTTCCTCCATGCTGTCATATTCCCACTGCAGCCATCATGTGCCAGAGTGAGTGATTGTCATATTCCCACTGCAGCCATCATGTGCCAGAGTGAGTGATTGGTTAATTGGCAGCACCTGGCTGAGTGCCGCTCCTCACTGCTGCAGACACACACACACACACACACACACACACACTGCCTCTGCTGTTTTTAACACTGTGCACCGGCTACATCTCAGAAACAAATATTTACTTTTAACATGCTTGAAGCTAAACACCCAGCTGTGCTTTTATTTGTTACATTATTGATGGTGAGCTGTCAGAGCACCGGACACGCTGCTGAACAAGGTAGGATGTGAACCATAATTGGGCTGAATGTAAGGAAGCCTGAAGGCTGGTGTGTTGTCTGTCCAAAATTCACAATCTGTAGTGTTTGTTTTTCGCTTTGAAGTTCTTCCAGATGCGAAAGGTGGCGAAAATGCTGAAGTGGTCAAGTTGGAAACATTTACATTTACCTTGAACTCGACCAATATGACTCAGTTCGCCTACGGAATAGCTGCAAATGTGGTTGTTATGCTGATGTATGGAAGCAATCTAGTTCCTGTCAAAAGGATAGAGACAGGAGATGGTAAGCATACAGTGCTTTCTTCACTAACATTTAACATTATTAAATATTTTCATTCAAAGGAGCTGATCATTTTAAGACTTTCATAGTATTTTGTAGGCCTCTATGTGAATTTGCCTGTGTTGTGTTTACAGGTATGTTTTTTCAGTGGGTATACTGTGCAGCCATATTCCTTGTATCTGTGGTTGGAGACTTGTTGCTACAGTCGCCCAAATTCTACCCGTTTGCGATGATTGGAGGTGTCATCTGGACTACAGGTACTGTCTCCTGCAAGCAACACTTTAAACCTTAAGTGTGGATGGACTGGGCAGTAGATGGACTTAAAGGGGAGCTACACCCATTTTCAAAATTCATACTATTTATTCCTATGGTCTAAGACAGTCCAACAATGTTAGTTGCATGAACAACTCTTTTCCAAATTCAAAAACTAGACTAACTAGTGTCCATAGACAATGAATTGGCAAAGATGTTACAGATGACACTGAGAGCAGTCTGAGTATATGGGAACATTTTCTGTTTCAGAACAGAGAACACTACAATAGGATAAAGCTCATCTGGGTATAGAAGAGAAACAAACAATCTGTGGGTCCACAAATCAGGTTCCCATTTATTGTCTATGGAGCAGCTCCACATTTTATACTTAATGACATCACAATTTTAAGACTCACTTCTTTGAGAGAGAGCGTAGCTCCTGTTCACAAATATTGATTGAACTTTCCTAGGTCATGGAAATAACATCTTGGAAATCGTAATTTAGGAGGTGTTTCCCTCTTAAAGCGGCTCAAAGAGACTTCAGGTGTTTTCACATAAAGTCCTTTTTAAACATACTGAACTCAGTCCTCTTAAAGTGGACCAACAGAAAAGGGATTTGATACATTCAAATGAGGACACAGTTGTCTTTCTGGTCAACTTCAGCTCTGATATGGCCTCAGTCCTCTTTCTGTTCACACTATAGTCTATATATAATATTGACATAGTTTTGTTTTTACTTCGACTGCAGTGCGAGTGTTTCCGTGTGCTGTAGACTGTTGCCGTTTGATGTATACTTTATTCCACATCTGAAAACGTGCAGTATCTACCGTGGACCAAACTATTTTTCATCTTGTGTTCATGCAAGCAAAGAGCAAAGCGAACCTGGAGCGCTTTGTGTTCACAGAGCACAGCTTAGGTAAACCGCACCACGGACTTGAGGCAAAGCTCTGAGTTCAGTTTGCTTCAGAAGGGTCTGAGTTCTCTTGGGAGTGTTTACATATGCACAAAAAAATTCTGAGTCACCGCTCTGAGTCTGTTTAGAGGGCCGAAAAGAACCAAGTGTGAAAACACCCATCAAGACTCCATCTGCTGCAGTCCATCTTAAATTGATGGTGTTAATATGGGTCCTGTGAGAGAAGGCAAACTTTTGAGCACACTGACAGTGCGACACAATTTCATACTACATTCCACCTGCCAGTTTTTTTAGGTGCACCTAGCTAAAACAACAGTCCAGAAAGGTGTTTATGTGGGGGAGACCTTATATTCAGGGTGGATAACATGGGTTGGATCTGAGATGATTTTCTGTGCTTGTTTAATTATGGTTTGTTGAAAAATATTTTGAAGACTGGTTGTCTTTACTAGTCTGTGAATTTGGGCCTTGGCCTGGACTGTCAAATTTCCAAACCATGCCGAAATCCCATAGCGCAGTAGACTTTCTACCACAGCATGATAGAAAAGGAGTTGCCCCTTGAGGTGCTCCAGTACTAATGGTTGTGAGTTCAGACAGAGTATTGTTCACTCTGACTTGCTGGGTGCGGTCAGTGAGGAATGAATGGCACCACCTGATGATGATTGGGTCGACACTGAGCTGATTTAGTGTATTGAGTAGTGTGTGTGGCTGCAAGGTATTGAATGCAGAGCTGAAATCAACAAACAATAGTATAGCATAGGTCTTTGGTTTCTCTAGGTGTGTAGTGACCATAGCTATTGATTGCATCATCAGTGTCTCTTTGTTGCTTGTATGCAAATTGATATGGGTCTAGCTGTGTGGATACCTCGGCTTTCAACCTCCTCGCAATCATTTCATCACAGTTGAGGTTAATGCAAGTGGTATGAAATCGTTACATTCTTTAAGACAGGGTTTTTTGGGCGAAGGCGTGATAACTGCTTTCTTCCAGATTGCTGGTGCAGTACTGGTGTCCACAGACCTCTGAAAGATGGGACACCAGGCAGGTGTTAATTCCTCTGCACATGCTTTCAACACAAATGCAGAGATGCCATCTGGTCCAGTGGCCTTACTAGCATTAACATTTTTAAAAACCTCTTTCACCTCTTTGGGGTCAGTTAAGAGCCCATCTACCCTATCAGTGGGATTGTTATCCAAAATACTGCCTCATTCTGCTGAGAAATTTTGTGTGTCAAACCTTTTATAAAAGCTGTTCCCATAATTTCAGAGTGTTCATATTTTGTAGATTGTCCTCAGTTGTCATCCTGTGTTGCTGCTTTGCCTCTTTCAGTCTCTGATTTAGCTCTGATTGTGCAGCTCTTAATATCAGTTGGTCATTGTTCTGAAATGCTGATTTCTTTCTGTTAATACACTCTTTGATCTCTTGTCTTTTTTTGGATCACAGAGTCGATGCAGAAATGAATATAGTCAGTAGTCATCTGTCTCTCCTCAGAGAATGTGCCCCACTCTGTACATAAGAAATGCTGTCATCTGACCAAACATTGACAGATTTAACCAGAGGCTCGCTGCTCTTAAGAGCTGTTCTATATGTAGGTATCAGATATATGACCACAAATGAAAATTAGAACACTTCAGATATGACAATCTTGTCTGCAAAGATTTGCAGAATCTGTTTGTAGAGATTAATTTTGCCTTTAGCAGATTTAGCATTCAGAATCATAAATACCTTTAATGGTCCCTGAGTGGAAATTATGATTCGTTACAGTTGATGTAAAGAACAGAATTACAAGAAGCCAGAATAAGAATATGAAATAGATGGATGTAAAGATAAAGCAATAAAATAGAAATGAAAATGTGCATTAAAAATGAAATTAAATGTGAATTATGCTGCAGTGTTTAACACTAGTACTTAAAATATTAAACATATTTAAAAATTAAGTATATATCATGACTGTGCTGAGGCTGCAAGTGTGGAATTTTAACAAGAACAGAATGAGAGTTAACATAGAAATATGTGCATTGCATGTTGAATAAATATATACATTTATGGGGTGTTGGTGAGAATAAAGTGGTATACTGAAAAAACACTGTATAAGCATCAGGGTTATCTTGTGCAGGCATAGAGAATTGTTGAAATAGTCCATAAATGGCTGCCACACATTATAAAATTTAAAATGAATTTACTGACACGAGAATGTACTTTGAATGCCAATAAGGTGCCAGAGAGCATATAAAAAGTACCACAAAAGAGCATTTTATGAATCTAAAAAAATTTTTTTAAAAAGTAAAAGGCTAGGGATGGACCCCCTGTCAGAGGTCCAGGCTAAGCTCTGAATGCCCTCAATCCTAGACAGATCCTCGCATACACCTGGCCTGTGTGGGCTGCTGCGACTGGATTTGCATCTTGGCAAAGATGAGCGAGGAAGAGGTTGAAGGTTGAAAGCAGGTGATTAATTTATACCGATAGAAATAATTCATGTTTATTAAATGGCTCCTGGCCTCAGGTCAGTTTGCAAAAGTGTTCCAGAGGCAAAACAAGATGAGCATCACTGCTGTGTGAATCACCAGCTTCAAGTGGGCAAAACCCATCTGTGTATAAAACATGCATGCTGCTAACACCTTTCTCTCGTATCATGTACAGGGAATATAACAGTCATTCCAATTGTTAGAGCGATTGGCATGGGGCTGGGGAGTTTACTTTGGGGCTCTTCGACGTTGTTGATGGGCTGGGCCAGTTCAAGGTGAGTCAGATAAATTAGTTTTCTGTCTTATGGTATATTTTATAGATGAAATCAACTGTAATTGAGTTGGTCGGCCTTGTAATGGAGATGTCACCCCAAGGTTTAATCTCGCAATATAATCAAATGAACCACAGTATCCGAGTACTGACTGTCTCTCACAGGTTTGGCTGGTTTGGGATAGATGCTCAGGATGTTTCCAAGCCAATACTGAATTACTGTGGAGCTGGGTTGTGTCTGCTCAGGTAAGCTGTAACCTTGGAAGTAAAGTCTCCACCTTGTTATCGGTTATCGTCAGTTACATTCCACAGAAACTGCTCTTCTCAGGGTCTCCAATGACATCATGATGGCCTCCGATGCCGGTAAATCCACTATCCTCGTTCTGCTTGATCTCAGTGCAGCCTTTGACACTGTTGATCACCACATCCTTTTAGACAGGCTGAGGGACAGGGTAGGAATCTCAGGGACCGCTCTTCATTGGTTTAAATCCTATCTGTCTGATCGATCCTTTTCTGTGGCTGTTGGCCCTCATAAATCAGAGTTTGCCCCC